TTTTTACAATTTCTTATGTTTTTCGCGTTTGTTTTGTTACACAAGATCTTGTGATTTTATTGGATCCGGATAGGGTCAGAAGGGATCTTCAGCCCGGGATTTTCTGGACATAAGGGTACCTATGAAAACAGCTGTAAAATTCAATTTCGGATCACCCGACTAGTAAAAGGTTTCGGGTCAACCGATTTGCTAAAAGTCTGACCCGGTTGACAACATATGGGCGGATTTGACGCAAGTAAATCTTCATGTGACAATACAGTAATTTGATATAAAATTAAAGATTTTGATTGGATGGTTGCTCTGCTTTTTTTTCTTATTTAGTAATTTGCAGGCAGACGATAATCACAACAAAGATCACATTAATCACGTGTAATACAAATGATCGGCCAGTTAGATAAATTTATATCACATATTTGATCGTTACTCATAAGTATTATCATTGTATTACCAATGCGCAATAATCTTTCATCTTTAAACCTCCAGTTATACCAAAGACTTTTCGTAAGAATAATGCTACCTCTAAAGTAAAAATAAGCAAAGCCGTTAATAAATATACTACATCTTCCAAAAAAGCTCAACGAGAACCTTAACTTTATGTAAATGTGGATCAGAGTATATCAAACAACGTAACTATTCCAGTACTAAAACAAGATATGGATGTAACTATACCAGTATTAAAACAAAGTAGACAAGATTTGAACAAGACTGGCATTTTTACAAATGTAAGTTTATTTGTAATTTTTTTTTTATTGCGATAGTAAATTTTAATTTTTTTATAATTTATAAAAATATATTTAAGTCAATTAAAAAGTCAAACAAGAATATGAAAAATCAAGATTAGCTATATTTAATTGTAAATATTTATATATTTTATTAAACTAATAATATTTGTAATACTGTATATAATATTTAGTACAAAAATTACCAAACAATAAAGATAAATGTATATTTTACAATAAACCTTTATACATTATAGCAATGCATAAGATAGGTAATAACAATCAGTGGCAATCTTACAAAGTAATTAAACTTGGTTATTACTCATCTATCTCTAAATTTACTCCAAAAAAAAATGGCATTGCATATCAGATTCCTAATAAATATAAAATTGAAACTAATTTATTAGAATTATTTATAAAATGCAAAACTGAATATCAGTCAACTGGTAATATTAGTTATATGATTAGTTGGATAAATCTTTATAGTGATATAATATCAAGTAGTAGTATGACCTCAGCAAGTAATGCTAGAATTAAATTTTTAATAGTAAATATTAAAAATAATTAAATTTATTATTATTATATTTATACATTTAATTTAAAAAAAATAAATAAATAAAATTCATTATAGAATATTTGTAACAAACCCAATACACATATTTCTGAAGTATTTTTATTTGATTTTGATATTAAATATCTGCATAAAGCAAAAATAAAGGAGTGTGGTGACCTAGTGAAGTGGTCAGGTTGTCAACCTCCAAGTGGCAGGTTCAGAGTTCAAATCCCAGTATCGACGAAAAATTTGAAAGTCCTCCCTGTATTATGGTTAACTGTCTCTCGCAATTGGTTGGGATAAGATACCTGTAACCTCTATCACACCAGCATGACTGGCAGGTCATATGGCATTTGTATAATGGTCACATGATATTGGCCTTTGGGACAAGGCTGTAATTACACAAAGGAATGCAAACTGGTATCAGGCGGTGCAAACTTACAATAAGTCCTTGTGGCCGTGTAAATCATAAGAACCAATAAAAGAAGATGGAAGCCCACTTGGAAGACCTGAGTAGAGAGGTAACCCGAACTTTCAATGGTGCTACTGTAAAGATTAGACTTGTGAAATAGAGCTAGAACTTGTAAAACTGGACAAATGTGTTGGTTCTTAGGGAGGGACTGAATGAACCAACCAGGCTGCTAAAATTTCTGAGTTCTGGAAGAAAAAGGTACATGCTGACAAACATGTAAACCAGAGGTATGGTCTCGCCCTACCTTTCCGGGCTATCTGAAATGCAGCTTAGTGGAACTTGAATTGAATACCAAAGTAGTAAGGATATGTTGTAAAGTTAGTACCAGGCTTGGAGTAAACTCTACAAGGGCAAAAGCAGTTTAATG